CTGAAGTCAGCTTACTGTATATCTAGAGACAAATGACCCAGTCACCCTGTTGCCCAGCTGGCACCCAGCCAACCACCAGACATGAGAGTAAGACCACCTCAGACAAACTAGTTTAGCCTATCTACCAACTAAGCCATGAGAAATATGAGCAAGCCCACGTAAGATCACTTGAGCCTGGCCCAGACAGAACTACCCAGCTGATCCAAAGACTCAAGAGCAATAAGAAATGAAGCTTTGGAGTGGTTTGTTATATATCAACAGCTAACATACACTAATGATAGTAGTGATAACAGAAAAAGGCCATTCACCTGGTGTGAAAGCTACAGTTATGTCACCAAACACTAATTTGTTCAGCATGGTACACCTATTAACTTAAAGAGGAAAAAAAAAACTAACCATTCTGAAGACAGATGTATTAAGCCATCACCACCCTTTTTCCTAAAATTACAGCAATTTAAAACCATTAAAAACATAGATGCAACTTTTGATAATATGACGTTGTCTTTGGAAAACTACTATTATATGGTAGCAACTGACTCTACTCCAGAGGGGAGGCATTTTTATGGCTAACTGAAACTGGAGTTTTTAGGGTATTTTCCTTTTAAGTAAGAAAATTTTCCAGGGGCTTCTAAATTTTTCAGGTATTACTATCGTGGCTTTTGGTTTTCAGAAGCACTTTACCATAAGAGCAACTTTTTAATACAGGGCAATCAAATCTTACTTCAAAAAGTCACAAATACTGCACTCATACTAATTCAATGCCTCCCACAAATAGTACAATGGTTTTCTCAACTGACAGGCATCTAATAGATTTCAACAGACAACACAGATCTCATCTCTTCCCTTCAATGGAAAACTAGCACTGCTTTCATAACCAAGTCACTGACCTATCACCGCCAATGCCAACAAGGCCTACCTATTGCTGAGACGGTAATTTTGCGTGCAAGGCAAGAACCAGGGCACTCATGAGTCATTTGGTATGATTTCAGACATGGAGAGACTTGCAAATAGGAGGTACTTTTTTAAAAAGGCAATGAATCCTTTAATAATTTTTTATATCGTTCCTGAATTTCACATGGTCCTTTTACTAAACCGGTTATCAATAAAGATAAAATCTGTTTTTATGGCATTTAAAACAACTGAAAACTCCTGTGTGGGTTTAGCAGCATTAAACTTTAAACACCATTAACACATCCAGAGAAAGTCTCAGAAGGAAACAATTTACTATTTTTAAACATACTAAATGGTCTTCTCCTTTATAAGGGAGGTCTGTGGGTGTTAGAAAAGTTCAATGGCCAGAACTACTTTACAAACGCACTGGTACATTCACAAAAGCTACAAAAAAGGGTTTTCCATCCATTAATGTTTTACTGTATCAAAAGGTAGATTTCTCAACATGACTCTGAAATATTTAAAAGAATAGTAAAGTTTATTTGATAGAAGAATGACTAAATTGATGATTATCAAATATCCTAGATAATTTCATTCAGTGTCTCTTTTAAAGGTACAAGTCTCATTTAAAAAGGTGAATATAGGCTTTCTCAAACCATGGCACAAACCCTAACTTCCTGCCTTCCAAGTACTGCCCTGGGTTAAATTACAGGGTACCAGTAGTTTTGATACTAAGCCTGCAATATTCATGAGCCTCACTGGGTTACATTAATTTCCTGCCCTAAAATAGCTAGTCTATACCTCCTATCCTCCTACACACACACACTCCCAGTAAAATATCCCATACCGTAATTCTAGGTAGTCTTTTACCCCCTCTCATTTTTAAATGCTTTTTAGTATTCAATCCAAAAATAAATGAATTATAGAACCGTTTTAAGAAATAGTTTCTAAAAAACCTTCCCTAAACAGTTATAACAGCCAACCAACCTACCTCAGGAAATAAATCTCCTTGTTTATCTATGCTGCAAATTCTCACTGCCGTCCCAACACCTAAAATCTACAGTATGGCTATTTTAATCTATTCCCTTTCAAATATTGTAACATTCCTCTAACCAAGACGACTTCCAGAAATATCAAGCTTAGAAAATCAAAGCCCTGGAGACAGAAAATAATTATTAATAGCTAACATGTATTGAATCTAACTACTCTGTGCCAAGTTGTGTTTTTCATGCATTACATCATTTAACGTCTACAATGGCGCTGTGAGGTAAGTACAATTAACATTATTTTAAAGATAAAAAAAGACAAGTTTTGAAAGTAAGTCATTTGTTCAAGTTTAGTGTTAGTAAGTGTTGGAGTTGGAATTCTAAAGCAATCTAACTGTACAGTTCTGCATTCTTTAAGTCAAATAGCAGAAGACCATATAAGCAGTCGGACAATTAAGTTTGCGAATTCATCCTAGAAAAAGTGCTACATACCTCATGGCTGAATATCACTATGGTCACCTTAGAAGTACTCCCCTTGGGAAGTTATGCACTGATGCCAGCACCTAGTCCACCCTTCAAAGCAATTCTGGAACTCTTTTTCTGGGATGGCCATCAGAGCTGTCGTCGTATTACTCTTGATGTCCTGAATGTCATCAAAATATCTTCTTTTCAATATTTTCTTTATGTTCGGATAAAGAAAGAAGTCATTGGAGCCAGATCAGGTGAGTAGGGAGGGTGTTCCAATACAGTTGTTAACTGTCTAAACTTCCTCACAGGCAGTGCTGTTGTGAGCTGGTGCATTGTGATGTAAGAGCCATGAATTGGCGAAAAGTTCAGATCAGCTAACTTTTTCACGCAGCCTTTTCAGCACTTCCAAATAGTAAACTTGGTTAACTGTTTGTCCAGTTGGTACAAATTCATAAGAAATAATCCCTCTGATATCAAAAAAGGTTAACAACATTGTTGCAACAAGTTTGCGAACTTGTCAGCCCTTGTTTATCACAGACTAAGTTTTATGAGAGCAATTCCCCAGATCTTCCTTACAATCTACAGTACTGATTAAAGTTAGTAATGTCACTCATTGCACAAGTCTAACAATTACCGAGATGATGTCCCAGTTCAGTTATTTAGGTGCAGCACATTTGAAGGAACAGGAGGTATTACTGCTAGAACCAACCACACTAACATGTTGGGGAAATGGGGAGGGGAGACATGGTTGCACACACAAGGGAAAAATGAAATTGACTATTAAAAAGCTGCTATGTGATTAAAGAGCCCTAAACTGTTATACATATTTCAGAATGCAGTTGTTTCTTTTTCTTTTAACACTTTTTTTTTAAATTTATTTATTTTGAATTGGGGAACTGGGGGAGGGGAACAGTGTTGGGGAATTGGGAAGGGGACCAGCCAAGTTGTTGTTCTTCAATCTTAGTTGTGGAGGGCACCAGTCACCATCTGGCTGCAGCTCGTAGCCTCTAAGCTCAAGGTGTGGTGTTACAGTCTTAGCCGCAGGTGGGCATAGCCACCATCCCATGCAGGAGTCGAACCAGCAGCCTTATTGTTAAGAGCGCATGCTCTATCCACTGAGTCATCCGGGCAGCAGCTAAGCTCAAGGTGCCAAGTTCAGTCTTAGTTGCGGGCAGGCATAGCCCACCACTGAACAGATGGTCTTGTTGTTGGGAGCATGTGCTCTCACCAGCTGAGCCATCCTGCCACCCACTGGCAGCTCAGCGGCAGTCAGCTCAGGCTCAGCATCACTGGCCCACGTGGGAATCGAACTGGAGGTCCTGTTGCTCAGAGCTCACGCTCCTAAGCTAACTCTCAACCAACTGAGCCACTCGGCCAGCCACAGCTATTTCTTTATCCTTCAGTAGAATAGTAAAGTAACTGATATTCATGACAAGTGAAGTACAGTAGGCTCTCCAATAACATCATCCTTTTGTTATAACATTGATGAGATGCCATAGGAACTTAACTCTTTTATATCAATTTTGTTATAAATCATTTTGCTTCAAGTCTCAGAACCTATCAACAATGTTAAGTGAGGACTTACTGTATCACAAAATGGTATCAAAAATCATATTCAGCATTATCTGAAATATATATTTTAGAATAATTTCTACAAAAAGTACAAAGTTTGAAATCATTTCTCTAGAAAGTTCAAGATGATGGTATTTCCCCATTTCAGTTCAATCTCTTATCCTCTCTTCTCCTCTTCCTTAGCACATACATAGTCTCAAATCTCTGTTTTCGTACACTATTAACTTGCACTCCCCCAGCTTGATAGGCAAGCTTCTCAAAGAGTAGCCAACACTCATTATTTCCACTTCCTCACCTCTTTCCTCTTTGCTGTAGCTTCTTACTAGCTTCCTCAGTTAAGCTATTTTTGCTAAAGTCATCAATGTCTCCTTATTCCTAAATCGAATGAACAATTTTCAGGTCTTATGGGTCCTTTTAAGCAAGATTTAACATTTCAGATCCCTTTCTCCTCTACCCTCCTCCTCTTTTAAAGTCTGGTCAGCTACCTTCTACACTACCCTTCTTCTGTTTTCTCTCTTCTTACTACTTTTTGCTGGACTCATTTTCCTCTGCCTGTCCCTCAAATGTTGGAGGGTCCCTGGCCTTCTTCTCTTCTTTTATTAAGAATTCTCAAATAATGATTTCATCTTAACCTCCATTCAACCACTTATGCTGCACTTATAACTCTCTAGCCCACACAACTACCCTGGCAATGTTCCAATGCCTCCCACACATCCATCTGAGTATTTCCAGGACCCTCAAACTCACCATAGTCACAACTGAACTGATCTTGGAAAGCCAAAGAACAGAGCCCTGGAAAGAGGAATGTACTCTTTTTATTTTGTTAGGAGTAGGTATACTCCCCACTTAGTAAACATTATCCACCCAGTTTTCCAAGCCAAATAGCTAAGAGTGATTCTTGACCCCGTCCTTCTCTTGACCCAAATAAATCATCAAATACTAAAAGAAGATTATAAAATCTTAAAGTTTTCAAATCCCCCCCCCATATTTTCTCAACGACTAATTGTTTAGGCTGTCCCGTAATATTCATAATTGCTTGTGGCTATAATACTTATCACATAAAATGTATATTTCTTCATTAACCTGCAAACTTAGTGGCAGGAAACCGTGTCTTGTTCTTTTTATCCAATGCACCTAGGAACACATAAAGAGTAATAAACATAAGTCTGGTGAGTGAGGGGCTTTAAGAAGCTAAGTAACACCTCAAACGACGTACAATTTATTAACAGCAGAATAGGAATTTATGTGTAGTTCAACTTGCCAGCATTTTTCAATACTAAAGTAACCTCCATGACAGTACAGCAATAATAATAATAGCATATCAGCAGTGCTCTGTATATTCAAAGTGAAAAAATATTCTTTTCTTGTTTATGTTTCTATGTACGTTTTAAATACCCTACAATGATCATACATCATTTTCATAACTGGTGAGGAAACAATATTTTTAGAGCAAAATGCCATAATAAACATGAATGAAAAATCTTTGTTCTCAGGACAATATGTTGTGAAGTTGGAAATTGGGGTTGGGAACATGCATCAGGAATCTAATGGAATATACCAAAAGAGAGATACAACATTAAGCAACCATTGCTAAAAAATACTGCTTTCAATGAACAGTTAGTTAAGCTCATCCAGTGACAGCTGAGAAAACGTAGATAGGTGTACAGTTTCATCGTAGTCTGTCAATGATTTACTTAAAAATGGATCTTTCAACAAAAGATGTTGGCTAATGATGGGGGAGGTGATATTTGAAAATTTACACACAAATTCATTCTAGATTTAAATTTAGTCATAAAAATATAAGAGAAAAATATAAGTGAATATTTATATCAGCAGTTCTCAAAGTGTAATCTGGATTTCTGAACCCTTTCAGGGGGTCCACAAGGCTAAAACTATTTTCAAAACAGTAAGATGACATCTGCTTTTTCATTCTCATTCTCTGGAGTATACCATAGTTTTCCAGAGGCAACATGTCCTATGATAGGTATCTTAAGAGCTTAAATGCAAGGCAGATATAAGCCAGATGTTCAAAAATGTAAAATTTCTCAGTAATTTTTTACTAGGGGATATATAATTTTTTTTCATAAAAATGTTGTTTTTGTTAACATGTAATGGACTTACTGTTTCTTAATAAATTAGTAAATATTTTAAAATTTCCCAGTGTTAATTTCTAATGTGGCAAATGTCTACCGATGTAACCAACATAAAAAAGAGCTCTTCTGAGTCCTGAATAGTTTTAAAGAGTTTTAAAGGGGTCCTGAGACCAAAAACTTCAAGAACTGCCCGATTTATATAGTTTGAGCAAGGCCAAGCTTCTCTAAGCATGACTCCAAAGCAAGAAGACCAACCAACACACATGTCGCTATGTTTTAAACTTCCATACATCTAAAAATAAACATAAGCAAAATTACAAGAAAAACTGACAAGTTGAGAGAAAATACTTGCAACTTAAAACAACAGGTTCATAGTATTCGCATATAAAGATCTCTTTCGTATCGCTAAAGAAAAGACAAATACTCTCCCAATATAGGAAAACGGAAATGAAAACTAATGGGAAAACAGTATAATACAGTAGGGGCCAATATGCATATAGAAAAATAACCCCCAAAGTTATTAGTAACCAAAGCAATGTAAATTAAAACTGATTAAATCAGCAGTGGTGTTTTAAAATTATAATATCGAATTCAGTAAGAATGCAGGGAAACAGGTGTCCATATAAATTACTGTTCGGAACATATATAGTTACAACCTCCTAGAAGGCAATCTAGATACATGGATCAGAAATCTTAAAAGTATACAAACTCGGGCCGGTCGAGTGGTGTGTTGGTTAAGAGCTGGCTTGGGACGCCAGAGGGCCCCAGTTCAGATCCCACATATGAGGGCCAGTGACACTGCCCTCTACAGCTAAGATACTGGACAACAGCTCAATCTGGAGCTGGGCTGCTGTGAGTCACCGATAGCATAGGCTGCAGCCCCTGCTACAGTGGGTTGCCATGGGCTACCGTGTGTAGCCAGCAACCAGCGTGAGCAGCCAGCAGCTGCAGTGAGTGGCAATCCAGAAGCCCTCGACTGATCTGCCTCGCCTGGGAAGAGCACAATGATGGTGCCAACTTGGGCCAGTGAAGCAACGTCCTCCACAACTAGACTGAAGAACAAAACAACAGCAACTTGTCTGTTCCCCTTCTCCCAATTCCCCAGCGCTGTTCCCATCCCCCAATTCCCCAATAAAAAAATCTAAAAAAAACCCAAAAACTATATGAACTCCTTGACCTCCAACGCTATCCTAATGGGATAAAAACATATGCAAAAGTCTGCTACAAGAATACTCATTGAAGCATTATTTGTAACTGCAAAAGAAAAAACTAGAAACAAACATCTACCAAGAAGCAGATGGTTGAATATATTATAGCATACCATTGTGTGGAATAGTTATTATCTGATGATTTAAAATATTGTCTATGGAAAGGTATCTTTGATATATTAGGTTTAAAAAAAGGCAGTTACAATTTTTGATGATTCGTTTCAGTAAAAGATAACACATCAATATTCAAAGAACTATGTGCTGGGAATTTTAGGTATGTGCCAAGACTTTTATACGCCTTATCATATTTAATCTTCAAAACTCTATGATATAGGCTGCCCTCTGTTAAATCTCAGTTCTCTCATCTGTAAAACTAAAATAAGTAATTAGCCCCAACACCATGAAAACCTCAACTCATAAAGCCATTAAATAGTGGAGCCCAGATTTGATTCCAGGTCTCAGACTCTGGAACTCAAACTGTATTATGTTAAATATCACCTGTACACCAAAAGGTTAACAGTGAATCAACAGGACTATCTCCCCACTCCAGCTACCTTTATCTCTTTTTCTTTTCTCTTCCCCCTAATGTTATATTTCTTTCTACAATGAACATATTTTAGTTGTTTAATTTAAAACAACTTATTTGTTTGTATTTTGTATGTTTGTATTTTGAAATACTCTGGCTCAAAAGCAAGAGATTCAATTTGGGGGGAAAAAATTTGCAACAAAACTTTCAAATTCAGCACATCTTGTTACTTAACATTATCTACAAACAAACAAAAATATCAGCTTCCATTGGAAAGTTTCACAAAACGTTTATGAACTTCAGCATCAACAGACCTGGTTTAAAATCCACAGTAAGTTATGAACCTTAAGCAAATTATTTAACCTCTAAAACTCAAGCTTCTTATTTGTAAAACACTGATAATAATTCCCCTCTCTCAGGATTCTTATCAGGACTATGTTAAAAGAATAAAGCATGTAAAGAGTAAAAATATAACTCTATAAAAGTGAATTCCTTCAAAAAGACATACAGACATACATACATATAAACTCTAGCTCAATGGCAAATGGACATCAAAATAATGTTGTAATTATAGGTGTTCTCAATAGTTAATGGCTCATTCTCGCTTTCAATTTAATCAAACCCAAAAATACCCAAGAAAATAAATTCTCCTGCCCTTTGGGAAATCCTAAGCCTAGAGCACTGTGAAACAAACGTTTTTAATGTCTTTTCATTACTGATATTGGCCTACTTGACTTTTGTATCCTCAGGATGCTAAGCAGAGTGCTTAGTTAGTTGGCTGAATAAATGTGGAGACCTTGGAACACCTAAATGTCTAATAATGAGTCCCATTATCACTCAAGTCTAAAAGCCTTCACACAAAGCTGTGGTGCTAATTAACATTCAACAACAGTTTTGATTTCAAAAAAGCAATCAATCATGCATCAAGTTTCATCCAACTCACTTATTTCCAGAGAAGTGTATCTAAAATTACAAAATCCCTGGGATGAGTCTTAAAGTAAGAGGGAGAAAAGAGAGCTCTTAAACTTTAGTCTAACTTCCTCACAAGGATCAAAAGGGTCAGAATCTCAGAGCACGCTAAAAGGTTTCCTCCGTACTTATTAGTCTTTTTGGTGTTCATTTAGCAATAGTCAATAAACAATATCATAAAAACTAAATAAATAAAAAACTAATCTCTGCTCTGCAATTATTCAGAAGTTCCAACTTGTCTATAAATTTAATTTTATTACAAGACCTACAATGAAACAGCCATACTACAAAACAACTAAGAAACCCTAATTTTATGTAAACACTTAAATTTCACCTCCCTCAACCAAACAGAACATTCAATCATCACACAAATACTGAGTGCCCACTACTGATTACTCAAAAAATATTCACTGAAATCTCACTAGGTGCCAGGCATTGTTCTGAGCTCAGAGGAATACACGATTGGCTAAAAAACAAAAATCCCTGCACTTATTGAAGTTACATCTTAAAGAGGGTGAGAGGTAGGAAGAGCAGAAACAAACAAAATCAGTGCATCATATATATTACAAGGGGATAAATGTTTTAAAATACAAAGAAAGGGGGAATATAAAGTGCAGGGTCGGGGGGAAGGGCTGAATTTTTTAAAACAAGGGTTCAAAGAAGTCCTCACTGAGAAAAACATTTTAACAAGGTCTTAAAGATGAAATGACATAAAATTAGCACAAGTTCTAGTCCTACATATATCAGATTTACAAGCAGCAACCAGTAAACTTATTTTCTTAATTCCTGAAAAGGGTAGGAGCAAGAAAGTAGAACTTAAACTCTGCCAAACTGCCCTCCAGAAATAATATACAAATTTATTTGCCTTCAGCAACACATCTCCCAAAACCCTATCACCAACAAGTATTATACTTCAAATCTTTGCCAGTGGGATTGGGGAGCAAGGGTGGTTTTTGGTCGCATTTTATTTTTGTTTTGTCATTTATACTAAATTGAACACTTTCACATGCTGACTATTTTTATTTCTCCTGTAAACTGTAAACTGCTTGTCAAAATATTTTAAAGTGAATTACTCCAATATCCATGGCCAAACAGTCACATATTAGATTTGATTAAAGCATATTACATGCACTGCCATTCTACATAAACACATATGCTTATGTAATACACATAAAAAGAGAGTTATAGGCATTCATTCCATCATAACTCAAGTTAGTATCTTCCACTAATATTTAAAAAAAACAAAACACTAGTGTCAAAGTCAAAGAGAGAAAAGGGGTTCAAATTAAAGTCTTTAAAACTACCTAATCATATAACACACAGTATTTCAATTAATAC